CTGATATAAATTAAATGAGGCGTTCGACGTCTACACAAAAGCGTTGAGACAATTTAGTTTCGGTCCTCCTCAGTTCACTACAACCCGCGATTTGTATATATCTGTTTTATCCAATTTCTGGAAAGCGGGTCATCATTCAGAAAATGGGCTTCGTAAGATCAAGCGTGTGCTTTTTTAAAAATTGCGTTTTACCCTAATCATTTAATGAAATCCAAAGAGAAGGGTGTTAACACTGTAACACTGTTGATACTTATGTCAGTAGTAGACCAAACGGGTTAGCTAAAGTTTCAATGCGTCATTTGTATTCTGTGTGATTCAAGCCCAAGTTGCGGCATGGAGGTGTTTGCTGCTTTTGCTTAGCCCTTGCAGACGATCTTGGCGTGGGCGACAGCTTTCTGCCTAGCCATAGGAGCCCACGAACCAACTAACCATCGACAGTGGATATGTTTAAAGTAAATCAAATATAAAGTCTAAAAGGTGGCATTTAGAAACTTTATGACCTTCCTGCTCTTCTTTGGCGCCGGGATAGCTCATTCGGTATAAGGATGCGCTACAGGCTGGACGGCCGGGCTTCGATTCCTGGCAGGGCAAGAAAGATACTTCTCTCTTCTCAACAGCGTCCAGATCGGCTCTGAGGCTCAGCCATCCTCCCGTGCAATGGGTACCGGGGCTTTTCTCCCTGGGTAAAGTGACCACTCATCTGCATTTAGTTCCAAGGCCAAGAATGGTGGAGCTGTACCTCCACTCATACATCTTAATGCCGTGCATAATTAAGCATAGGGACAACTTTACCTTATATTTTTATCACAGTCTTGTTAAAGCTGTAGAATTGTTTAAAGGCAGCGTGCAATTTGTGTTCAGATTTGTGTATTATATATTTCATATATATTTTCTTTTTTGCATTAAGAGCCTTGTGTGCAAGGGTACCTAAAATACATGTAATAATTTATTATGAGATAGGTTAATAAAGTGTCGTAGGGAATATAAGCTGTATACAAGTCGGAAGGTCGCGGGTTCAAATACCGATGAGGTGATTGGGTTTTTTTTCAGTTGACCTAATCCTTCCGGTCGCAATAGGGCCCTGGGGTTCACTCAGCCTCTAACACAAATGAGTAACAGGAATTAAGTAAATAATTTTCCTGGGGAGTAAAGCGCGGCCGGCGCGTAAGGCTGACAACCTTACCGCCATCTTTGAGCTGATTGTCTAGATCATGGGTCTCCAAACTTTTCGAACCGCGGGCCACATTAGGTAATTCAGCACTTTGAACGGGCCGGATAAAATGAGAAAGTAATAACTCTAGGTATATGAGTTTTATTGAAAGCACAGAATTTCATAAACTAAATACAAANAATATTATCATAGTGTGACATGTTGACCCTCCCACCCCTCAGCGGTAACGTAACGCTCGCGGTAATAGGCGAGTAATAACCCCGCAATGCGCAACGCGCGGTGACG